GGAGGAGGAGGAGGAGCAGCAGCAGCAGAGGAGGAGATGGAGCAGCAGCAGAGGAGAGAGAGGAAGACAGGAGGAGCAGGAGGAGGAGGAGCAGCAGCAGAAGCAGAGGAGGGCGGGGAGGAGGGAGGGGGAGGAGCAGGAGGGTCTGACCTGGTGGAGGTGGCGGTTGATGAGAAGTTCCATCGCATCCCGGGAGGATAGGATGCGCAGCATGATCGCCTTGGCAGTGGCGGAGGATCGCTCAGAGCAGGAGACTCTAGAGCAGAGGACGGAGAGCACATGGTCCACTCGCTGCCAGACCCTCCTGGCCACCAGCCCGACTTGCTTCCTGACTGCTGCCCCTGCCCTCGCTCGCTCGGTCGATCCCTCCTCCACGAAGGAACGAAGCTGCGTCTGCAGGCTCTCTGACAGAGAGCATGTGCCCCGTCCTCCTGCTCCTCCTCCTGCTGCTCCTCCTGCTCCTCCGATGGCTCTGGGGGGTCGAGGGACCATGGGGGAGGCAAACTGGGACCTTGACCCGTTGCGAGCATTCTCCAGCGAGCAGGCAAAGTGGACGAGGAGGTCCGCGTCTTCAAGGTGGGCGAGGAGCGGAGAGGAGGAGGAGGAGGAGGAGCTCCATATCGGCTCGTCGATGATTTGCTGGCAGATCTTCTTAATCTGAGCGATGCTCTCTCTGTTGAGACGACCCTGAGAGCGAAGGGCGAGAGTCAGTAAGAAGGAGGGAGGACGAGGACGAGGAGTAGGACGAGGAGGGGCACGGGGACGAGGACGAGGACGAGGAGAAGTGAGGGGGAGACGAGGAGCAGGAGGAGCAGGAGGAGCAGGAGGAGCAGGAGGAGCAGAAACAGCAGGAGGACGAAAGCAGAAGGAGCAGGAGGAGGAGGAGGAGGAGGAGGAGCAGGAGGAGCAGGAGCAGGAGCAGGAGGAGCAGGAGGAGCAGGAGGAGCAGGAGGAGCAGGAGGAGCAGGAGGAGCAGGAGGAGCAGGAGGAGGAGGATCAAACCTCAAACATCTTGCAGAAATTGTCTGCCATGATGAAGAAGTCGTAGTGAGAGACGTTGAGAGCTCGAGGGATGTAGGGGTAGAGGAAATCTTGCTTGTGAAATGTTGACCTGACCTGTAGCAGCTCGTTACATGATAATCATTCACATCGCCCAAAGAAGTGTTCCTCCATCATCATCATCATCATCATCATCATCATCATCATCATCATCATCTCCATCATCATCATCATCATCATCATCATCATCATCATCATCATCATCATCATCATCATCATCATCGTCATCATCATCGTCATCATCATCATCATCATCATCATCATCATCATCATCAACGACGACGACGACGATAACAACAACAACAACAACCACAACTTACCACTTCAAAGCAGATCGCAAGGAACGGACAGTGCAGCTCGTCCTGGTTGATCGACTCGTTCAAGTTGCTCACAAACTTGTCGTGCGAGAGTCTCTTCTGCTCCAGCACCAGCATATCCTTGATGCACTTGTAGTACAACTTCACCGCAACCTCCTCCTCCTCCTCCGGAAACCGCAGCTTCCTCTTTGCCTCCTCTACCCTCTTCACCATCGACACCTTAGGGTTCGGGCTGAACATGCCCAGCAGGCCCTCCAGCTCCTCGTCAGGCTCCATCCTCTCCCTTCTGACGTAGCTCTCGAGCCACCGCACGTTCCTCATCACTCCTCTCATTGGTGTCTGCAAGACTCCCCTCGCTTCGCTCCCGTTGCCCTCCTGCGGGAGGAACGCGCGGGAGGGAGTGAACGGAGGAGCGTGCGAGTGAAGGGTGTTGTACACCTCCCCACGCACAGGAGAGTGGGGGGGGCTGGGCGTGCGCTCGGCTGCTGCTGCTGCTGCTGCTGCTGCTGCTGCTCCTTCAGTCGGGTCCTGCTCCCGCTCCTTGCTCCCGATGAGCCAGGGGGCCTCGACGAACAGGAAGCCGTCGACCTCGCTCAGCCTCGGATGCTCTTGCTCGTACAGAGCTCGGAGGAGGACGAGGTTCTCCTCGAGGAACTCGTCGCTTCCCAGGTTAAACCCGTCGGAGTATTTCACCTTCTGTTCCTCCTTGAGTGTGGCGAGCAACTCGTACACGACTCCTTGGTCCCTGGTCAGCCGCTCCAGCTTCACATGAAGCAGCTCGCTGAGCTTCTTCAGCAGCGTCCCGTCGTGGCTGTCGGGGAGAGGAGGGAAGTTGAGTGAGCGCTGGAAGTTGAGAGGCCTCGACGACAAGACTGTCTCCATGCAGGCAGCAAGCAGGCTGAACGATGGTACGAGATCAAACTCCCTCGTCTTCGCCCTCACGACCAGGAACAGGCTCCAGGTGCACAGCTGCAGCTTCGAGCACAAGCCCTTGACCTCCTCTCCTCCCTGCTCCAGATTCAGCAGCTGGTGGAAGACCTGGAGGCGATGGTCAGCAGACGAGAGCACATCAACAACCCTCCGCTTACGTGCTTGATCTTGGTGTAGAGCATGTAGAGGAAGATGAAGTTGACCGACATCTGCTTCACCTGCCTCTGCAGCGTGTTGGGATCGCTGGCTACCTCCCTCAACCAGCCCTCTCCTCCTCCTACACCCAGGATCTTGTCAAGAGCCGAGAAAAAGTCGAAGACGGTACATCGCGCCTCCGATACCACCTCCCGGAGGGAGCTGTACCTCCCATGCCGCCCCCCCTGCCGCCCCCCCTGCTGCTCCCCCTGCTGCTCCCCCTGCTGGGCTTTCATCCACCTCAACACGAGGAAGACCATGGAGGCCAACTTAGCATTTCGCTTCTCCTGCCCGTTTTCTTCACGATGATCCTGCAGTATCCACAAGGAGGGGCAGCAGTGTCAGAGGAGGCGTCTAAAGCTGGTGCATGACAACCTGCTGGTTCTCGAGACGGTCCAGGTGGTTCATGAGCTCCATCGCTCGCTGCCTCACGCCAGCATCGCACGAAGCAAGCACGTCTAGTTTCACATGGTTGGACACCCCAGGCGGTGTCAGTATCCCGGCAACTTCGCTGGACAGAGTCATCAGGTGCCTGCAAGAAAATGTGAGCAATCCAAGACATCTGAGTGAGATGGAGAGCAGAGGGACCATCTCCGCTCCTCCTCCACCAATGCCCCAAACCTCGCCTCCATCCCCCCATCCCTAGCAACTCTCTCCCTGCCCTCTGATGTCTTCGCATCCTTCTCTGTGTGCATGTGCTGATGCTCGACTCTCTCTCCGTCCTCTTGCTACTCCTGCCCTCTCTCCCCGCATGCCCTGCCCCCCTCCTCCTCCTTCATTCTGTTCCCTTTCCTTCCCCCCCGCCATGGCTTTCCTTATTTAGGAGGAGGTGGATTTGTCCCCAGGTATGGGGTGGGGGGTACCACCCACCCCCCACCCCATCAGGATTGTCGGGCTTTAAAGGTTTAGAGGTGGAAGAAGAGGGGGTTCAACCCGATTGAAGACCGCATAGGACCGGTACTTTGAAGCTAATTTACTGCATGGAAAGTGGGTACGGTAGCTACCCTTGCAGTTGTAGAGATTTCAGGCATGAGGAGGGGTACCTCAAATTCCTTCGGGAGGAGGGGGGTAGGGTCATGCATGTGGGTATTCCAACACGGGACCAAATGAGGACCTTGTAGGGGTCAAATGGATTGTGGAAAGGGGGTGGGGGTACTTGTCGTGACTTGATGAACAGGGGTGTAATTGCTCAGGGGGGGGTACAATGTGTGGAAATGGTCCGGGGGTGTTATGTATTAGTACCAAAAAAGGTTCAAATATGGGGGTGTAGATTCATGGGGTGGGGTATGACATGAATTGAGATCACCACCACGGGTGGTGGTCATGAATACTGGGTAAGGGGTGGGTTGATGGTCCTTGGAGCCCGTCAGTCGTCGGGCATGGGTTGTGCAACTGTAGTTCTGGGGAAAGGTGGTGGGGTATAAATTCATGGGGTAGTGCTCGGTGACTTAGGGGTACTTGGACTGGAATGTACCGATTGGAGGGGTATTTTCTATGCTAGGGTGTAGAAAATGGAGGGGTAGTAGAGCACATGGCCACCGGAGATCGTCGGATCAATACTTCAAGGGGTGGGGTCATGTCTAAGGGTGGGTGGTGGGTGTTGGAAAATTGGGATGGTGGTGGGGGTATTGGTCCATAGAAAACTCCCGCCAAAGAAAAAAAGAAACTGGTACTACCCGTGATACCCCGATGTTATGATCACCCTACCCTGACTATGCCAAATACAGGGTACTGTGTCCAAGTTGGAGTACCCCTACCCCTCTGGAAAAGGTACCTTCCCAAACGAGCAAGTGGCCCTGGTCGCAGACCTTTGCACCCCACCCTTAAAAAAAGCGGATATGCTGGATAAAGTAGGGGTACTCGACCCTCAACAGGGCATTACGCGGGAAACAAGTTTGAACCTCTGCGACAACTACGAGCCCGTCCCGTCCTCCCTCCGTCCGAGGGGCTGTTCCTCCGAAGTTCCTCCTACCCCACGGTACCTACTTCAGTAGCTGGGAGGGGCGAGGAGGGGGTGAAGGTGGGATGGAAGCGTTTCAAATGACGCAGTGGCGGTAATGAACGGTCGAGTTTCGGGGGGGCCGCCCCTCCAGTTCCACCCCCTCCTGACCGAAAGTTCCCGATCCTCGGTCGCATGCAACAGACCCAGTCGCGCCCTTGCTAAATTTGATCGAATTTTCAAGGGTCGCCTTCCCACCACAAAACGAACTCGACCAAACAACACCTGAGGTTCTTGACTTTTCCGGGTTTTTTCTTTTAAGTTGTGAGGAGTCGGAAAACTTCCCTGCACCGCTGATGGATCCGAAAAAAGAATCTCCCAATTATCATGGCACTACCGAGCCCCGGGCACTCAGACGGTGACCGCGGCGCCGGGCCGGCCGGCCGTCGGAAATCAACTTGCTTGTTCATCAGGCGGGCAAGGCCGAGGGCGGCGGTGACGAGCGGCGGCAGGCCGCCGGACAACATGACTCAGTGATGCGACTGAGTCGGGCGGCCCGGCCGCGCCCCCGGATGGGGATCGCACTCAGTCACTGGCCTCCGATGATGAAACGGACGCCGTGATTCCTAATCCGGGTGGCTAAATCCGGACGGCGGGCCCCCTAAATCCGGACGGCGGGCCGCCGGACGGATGCACAATGATTGTGAGACATGCCATGATAGTGTCAAGCTTCCGAGGTAGCCGGGCCCGGGGTGAAATGAAGCACTAACGTGATTCAGAGGCAGAGATCGCAGGTAGAGCTAAGTATTTCTTATCACGCTCTAAGATCGATGAGATCTACAGAACAAGATTAGGACTGAAGACGAGGAGTACAACAATGACCCTGCCTTGAGGCTCCCTCCTCAGTCACTCGCCTACCGGCCGCGCATCCCGTTGCCTCCTGACATGTTGGACCCTCCCGGCCCAGGAGGGCCACCAGGCCGCGGCCTCTCCCTCCTGTCCCTCATGTCGACAAAGTTCCCCCCGCGGCTTCCCGGAGGCTCCATTCTGTCCATGGGAGGTCCCCCCATCCGCATCCCTCCCGGTCCAGGTCGTTCGTTAACCATCATCCTCCCAGAGTCGCGCGGGTCGAGCCGCATGTCCATCGGGTGCGCAGGAGGGAGATGGCGGTCCTTGTCCTCCTCCCTCCTCAGCCTCTTGATGTCACGCTTGTCATCCAGGTCTGCCCTGCCCTTGATCTCCCTGCTCGGGGAACCAAGTCGACCTCCCATCCTCGACTGCCCCTGCGGGTCGTCCCGGATGTTGGAGGGCGCCCCCCGCGGTGGGCCGTCCCCACGCCCCATGTCCCTCCCATCTCGATCCTTACCGAGATCGCGAACGTCAACCTCCTTCCTGCCCTTGTGCGTGTCCACGCGGGGCTCCTCCTTCTTCATCTCCTTCCTCTCGTCCAGGTGCGACGGCCTGTCCTCCTCCTTCCCGTCGCGCGCCCTCCCGCCCTCCCCATCCCTCCCGTCCATCGACGACTTGGACTGGCTAGAGACGGACCCCTCCTTCTTGGAGGAATGGCCCACCTCCTTCTTTGCCCTGACGGCCCTTGGATCTTCCTCCTTCCCGGCGTGCACCTTGGCACCCTCGTCCTCCGCTCGGTTCCTCTTCCTGTTGTCCTGCTCGCTGTCCCGCTTGACATCCTTCTTGTCCTCCTCCTGCTTCTCCACCCTCCTCACAGGCTCCTGCTTGACATCTTTGGCCGGAGGCGCCGCCCCGCCCTTGTCCACCTTGGGCTTCTTCTCGGCATCCTTGTCTTTCTCAGGAGCTTCCTTCCTCTTCCCCTTGGACGGGAGCTTCAGCATCTTGGATTCGCACGCCTGCAGCCGAGCGTTCACAGAACGAGCCATCACTACGATGGACTGCCCAAACTGCTGCTCCTCTCCTATCAGCTTCTGCACCCTCTGCTTCACCTCTGCATGGAACGTGTCGTACACTGGGAACGTGCTTCCCACCAGCTCCGAAAGGATCGTCAGCGCGTTGTGAACCTCCGTCCCCTCCGACGACTCCAGGCACGTCGTGAAGGCCTTGGAAAGCTGCTTGTGCCAGTTGCGCAAGCACTGCTGGAACGAGCTGAAGGCGATCTTCTCGGGTTTGGTGGGTTTCTGGCTGACGTTGGTGAAGCCTGGGAAGTTCTCGCACTCCTTCTTGAAGACTTCCTCCGTAGACGCCCAGCGGTTGAGCATCTGAAGTGTCTCCGACAGGAACTTGCCAAAGTGCTTCGCCTCCTGCTCCGTGCGGGAGAACACCATTGGGCCAAAGGTGGTGATGATCATGTTGTAGATGAGAATGGTGGAGAGGTTCGGCGTCTTGATCTTGTGGAGGAGATGGATGAATCGAGCGCAGAAGACCGCGTCCTCGGGCGACTGGACACACCTCGGGAACACGCAAGTTTGGAGGAAGAAGCAGGGGATCGCCTTGTACGACTTGTCCTTCTCCACAAGCGCGTCCTTGTCCTCTGTGATTCTTGTCATGACCTTCTTGTTGTTGTCCACCTGCTTCTTCCGCTCCTTCTCCAGCTTGTCGAGATCCAAGGTGATGTTCTCCTTCCACTTCTTGATGTCCTTGTCCTTCGCCTTGGGGTCCAGCCGGTCCGTCTCCTCCAGGTCAGCCAGCGCCTTCTTCAACCGTCGCTCGTGATTCTCGTAAGTCTCCACGGGCACGGAGATGTCGTTGAGCGTGAGCGACCAGAAGGTGGTGAACAGCGCCGGGGACGACTGCTTCAGGTTGCTGGGCATGCTGCTGAGGATCTCCTTGGCGTGGAGGGAGAGGTCGAGGACGGATGCGGTGTCCGAGCCCTTCAGCGCTGGTCTGAGGAGGAAAAGAGCAAGAGCAGGCTCCATCTGCAGCTGGTTGATCAGGTCCATAGGGCCAGGGAGCAGCCCGACAATGTCCTTGGTGGGGACGCGGCGCCACAGGAAGTCAGCGTACACCAGGAGGGTCTCCTGACACTGCACGTGCAGCCAGGACGAGAACCTGATCTTGTCCTGTTTGATCGCCTCGGCGGTGAATAGGCAGCCGGAGGTCTGCTGGGCGATCAGCACCAGCAGCGGCACCGTCAGCTTGCTCTCCTGGAGGGAGTTAATGAGCCACTTGCAAGCTTCGCTCCTCTCCTTCTGCGCCGCTTGGTATGCCTTGATCTTTGCGGCGCCTCCCAGCTTGCCTATCCCCATGTCTCCTGCCGCCTCCGCACGGTCGAAGAGGACCTCGGTCGGCCAAGGGTATTCCGAAGCGAGCCGGAGCCTCTCCCCGCCGCTCCTGCTGTCTATGTCTTCAGACGAAATCGTAGCCACGTCGAATTTGATCCCAGCCATCTTCGCTACCAGATCTCTCAGGATCTGAAGCTCGCCCAAGCTATCCTTCTGCAGCCGGTTGAAGATGTGCTGCAAGAGTCCCTTCATCTCCATCCTGGGGTACTTGAGGTAGACATCGGAGAGGAACGACGAGAAGTTCAGGAGCCAGCGAGCCAGGTTGGCACAATCGTCCTGCAGGAAGGGTTTGGAGATATAAAGTGCTCCTCCAAGCTCTTCCACGATAAGATAGCTGAGAATGTCCAGGGCGAGGCTCCCGCAGTAGCCCAACGCGTCTTTGCAGACGTCAATCATGCTCTCGTACTCCTGGATCTGATCAAGAACAACCTCCATCACGACGAGCGGGTTGCTGTGGCAGATCCTTGCCAAGTGCCTGCGCTGCTTCGAGACGTTCTCCTTGGTGAGGCCCTTCAAGAGCTTGCGCATCTCCTCCTTCGCGTTCGCCCTGGCGACGAGAAGCTGCGGGTGCTGGAAGTAGAGCTGCCAGTGCATCTCTGAGTAGATCCAGTACCTGTCGAGGTAAGGGAACAGCTTGATACACTCCCACATGTCGCTCGCGACGGCCGCATTGGCAGGGAGCAGCGCGAGGACTCCCATGAAGTTGAGGAGGATCTCCTTCACGAACTCCGGGGGTCTGCAGTCGTGTGACTTGATGCATTCCTTCACGATGCGGCAGAGCTTCACGAGCAGGACGACGTCTTCGTGCAGGTAGATCGAGAGGTGCCGGAGGAAGGGCATGAGTCTCTCCAGGTCACAGAACTCGGCTATCACCGGGATCCCTTCCGAGAGAGTGCACTGCTCCATCTTGGGCGACTTGTACAGCAGCCCCAGCAGGTTGGAGGACTCGATCACGCTCCTGTACAAGGGGTCGATCATGCGATGAATCAGCTTGCACAAGGACTTGGCCACTGGGGGATAGCTCGTTGGGAGGACAGCGCTGAGCACGTCGAGCATGTAAGAAGCTGATCTCCAGTCTCCAACGTCGAGGAACGCAGCTGTGAGCACCAGCTTTTGATTCTCCTCGCCACCCTGAGCGTGCGGCGCAGGATCATACGGCGATTCCTCTCCCTTCTGCCCCTCTTCCATCTTGCTCAAACTGAAAACTCTCATCTTTCGAACCTGCTCCACTACTTTGTCGCAGTGCTCTTCAAATGAAGTCTTGATAGCCTCGTCTTCAGCGGACAGGTAAGGGTAGATGTCACTGACAAGAATCACATTGTTCTTGCACAGCGTCGCCACTAGCTCGAACAGGGAGCTCGGCGGCTTCGTCCCAGCCTTGACATGGCCATGAAACTTGAACCCCAGCACTTGAATCAGCGACGTCGCACTGAACTTCTTGATCAGAATAAAGTAACAGGGCTGATTCAAACAGCTCTCAAAACAGTCGAGGATGATATCCAACACCCTGTTGGGGTCAAGATTGAAGTATGCTATCAATGACTGGATGTTGTTCGCCACACGTTCAACGTTGTCCGCGCTCAGCGCCCACCCTTGCTCCAAGTCAACGATCAACTTGGCGTACCCCTCGCTCTCCTCCCGCATCAGGTTGAACTTCTGTTGGCTGTATACCTTCCCAGTCCTCAACCTCTGCAACCTTGCCTTGGCATCCGCCGCGCTCCTAATCAAAGCCATCTCTTGCAGCACTTCCTCAGACACCCTCTCCTTCACCAAGTCCGCATCAGCCACCTTGTGCGACAGGATCTGATTCGCGATGGAAGCAAGGCTGTTCTTCAGTTCAGGCTTCGACTCCTTCAGCTCTACCGCCTCTTCCCCCACCAACCAGAGCACATCACAAATGCTCTCCTCGATCACTGTCTTGGATACTTTCTCACCCAGCGCACTCAGGCATTCAGCCAGCTTGTCATGGGGAAGTTTCCCGATCATTCCCATCTGCAGCAGCTCATACAGCTCACGGTGAAGAATCATGTCTGACTCCGACGCGTCTCGCACAGCCGAGACTTTCCCCGAGACGTGGGTCACAAACTCTTGCTTCTTGCTGTCGTTCCAGTCAGCGACTGAGGCCTCTGTCACAAACGGCTGCTGCATATTCAATCTTTCAATCGTGATCTGATTCGGGACGAGAGTTCAGGCAGAGTTGGCTTCCTTCACTAACTCCTCTTGGCGGGAGGTATCAGCTTCCTATTAAACTTCCCTTGCCATCAAGGGAACCTGTGCTAACAACCAGGGTCAGTGAGTCGAACACGATCCCATCTACCAATCGCAACCATGCCCTCCTTTCTGAATCTGCGCATCTACTCGGGCGGGCATGCGAGTTGGACAGACTGTCCGGCCCTCCTGCTGGTCCTGGATATCTGCTGATACCTCGAAGCTCGATTTCGTGATCATTTCCAAAGAGCCCTGCTGATATCTAATCGAAACTCACGCTTTTATGTTGAAATATGGGGATATTCAAGATTCTCAAGGAAGCTACAACTCACCCGGCTATCAAACTCACGATAGAACCAAATCCCCACCTTCGAATTGAACAGGCTCGTGCTCTAGTTCCTCTTAACCACTCAAACACCCTGAGCACCGTCACCCGCTAATCTGGGATATCGTAACTCTCGCTTCATTTTCGGAATCCAACTTCACAAGCTCCCATCCCAAGAAACTAGCTTCTGAACCCCCTCCAGGCCACCCCCGCCACCTAACTTGATGCTAATCACTTTCTGCTCTTGTTTCTCTTGCTCGCCTTCCAGCTGTAACAGTCCATGAAGAACCTGCCCGATGCTTCGATGCCTTTCTTCTTACATCTTCTTTCTCCTCCTCCTTCTCCTCCTCCCCCTCCCCCTCCCCTTCCCCTCCCTTTCCCTTGTTCCCGCCATCGCGGAGCGGAGTACTTCACCCCCACCCCAGATTTCCCCAAACATCACCCCCTTGAAAGTACCCCTTCTGAGAATGTCACCTTCAAAATGACCCCCTTTTCTAAAGATAAAAGTACCGGTACTAGACCAACGCGGATCTCCCACACCCCCCTTTTCGATAGTCTCGAGCAAATCCACCCCCTACCCCTTGTGATCTAACCCTACCCTGGGGTTGACTGTCATGAGTACCCTAACTTTCCCGTCTGAAAGTACCCCATGTGGTGAGGGCTTTCTGGAGTACCCCTGTTCATTCCTGCAAAGTACGAGGAAAATGTGGGGGTACATACATGTAAATTTATAGGGTAGGGGTGAATGGAACCTTCCTGGGGTAGGTGGTCCAAAAACGGTATGAGGGGCAAAGTCTGGGATCTAGGTGGGGGTCAAGCTTGAAGAAACGGGGGGTAGCTCAAAGAGGGGGTGGTTTTGAGGGATATAAGGGGGGTACTATGATCTGGGTATTAATAGGGGTGGTTCGAAGGATCTTTTGAGGGTGTATAGTAGTGAGGGGTGGGTGGTAGGGGTTTATGTCACTCGATTTCACAAACAAGCCCTCCAAAGAATAGGTTTCACCAAAATTTACAGATATGAACTTGTAAATTTCATAATTTTCAATCTAATTTTATACATATCCCAAAATATTGAAATAAAGTACACCTGTCGGGAATTCTATCTGAAGGTGCTAGGGGAACAGGTCGGTGGGGTAGGACCGGAGCTTTGGAGGGGTGGGTAGAATAATTCCAGGGTCGATTGGGGTAGTCCAGCTACATAGATTACAGCTTGAGTAGGTAGGGTGATACACCCTACCTACTAAAAATGAGAAAATTTGAGATAAAAGCATGGTGGGGGTACTCACCCCACAAGACAGGAAAAGGGGTATAAAGGGTGGGGGGTACCGCAGATCCTTCATGATGGCGGCCTCTGGGGTGTAATGATGGTAGAGGAAGAGGAGCGGTAGGCAGGAGGAGGAGGAGGAGGAGGAGGAGGAGGAGAAGAAGAAGATTGTATGACAATGATCAAGGAGACGGGCAGAGGAGAGCGCAAGAGAGCAACATGGCAAGCATGGGGAGGAGGAGTAGATGAAGATGAGGCTTGCAAGGGATATAGCGACATGTTGATGGGATGTGGGAGGAGGGGGAGAGGGGGGTGAGGGATGATAGAGGGCAAGATATGACCAGCAGGATTAACGGTCAGAAGCAGGGGAATTCAGCAGCTGAGTAGGACGTCTAGAAGGGATAGGCAGCCGCAAACATGGAAGAACACGTTTGGGGTGGCGAGATCGTTATGAAGAGCTGGGAAGTTGGGGAGAAGAAGGAGGCCCCTGTGGTAGACACAGCAATCAAAGACGCTAGCTAGTATGGTTGTAGAAGTTGATCCGGGAGACTCGGCAGGAAAGCATGACGGAAAGGCGGCGAGCAGGAGCGATGGCTGAGGGGCAGTGAATGAGAGCGAGAGGGGTGGATAGAAAGATGGGCAGGGAACGAACATGGCGGAATGAAATCGATGAGATCATAATGGCCAATATGGTGATGAAGTTGGACGAGGACAAGGACAAGGACAAGGACGAGGACGAGGACGAGGACGAGGAAGGAGGTCGAGGGGACGAAATCAAGGACGCGGACTAAACGAGGGAGGAGGGAGAGAGAGGACGAGGACGAGGACAATGATGACAGGTGGAGTGTGCAGTAGAGATGGGATAGTAGTGAATCAGACTGGTGCCTGTCATCGGAGGGGTCATGCAGAGCTTGTTATCAGTTGACAGAGCCCGGCAGGTCTCTAGGGCTTCTCGAGCCAGGGAGATGGTTCGAAGACTGGAGGTCTTGTTGGAGCCGACAGAGGCATATGAATCTCTCCTGCTCTCCCCCTCACGTGATGGGTAAGTGGATGAAGTGACTGCGCAAGAGCAGCCATGAGCTCGCCCGCTGCTGCTCCTCCTCCACTGGACAACCACCGCGCGCGAGACCTGGGGTACCGGGATGCAGCGCATCTGCAGCACGAGTTTGAGAAGGCGGCGAGGATTGTACGGGATGATCAGGATGAGATGGTGCGGGAGGCGACGTCAGCAGACAAGCTGAGGCTGTATGGATACTACAAGCAGGTGCCGAGAAGAGGACGAGGACGAGGACGCGGAGTGAGGGAGGGGGAAAGAAGCGGAGGGAAATAGAGAAAATGATGTGAGGGAGATGATACACGAAGTGCAGGCCGAGGAAGAGATGAGTGCATCGAGGGCAGGGGAGAAGAGGAGGAGGACAAGTTGGATGGGAGGGGAGGGGAGGGGAGGGGAGAGGAGGAGGAGGAGGATAAGTTGGGTGGAGGGGGGGGGGGGGGAAGGTGGTTGTTGGATGGTTTGGAC